GGGGGGGGGGGAGGGGTTAAATGGCTATTTTAGAAAGCTCAAACAACTATTTTTGCAGGCCAACGACCATTTTTTAAATTTGCAATGGCTAAAAAAATTTTGGATTTTTTTTAAAAAAGAATTAGTTGTTGGGCCTGTTTGAGCCCGTTTAGGACCGGTTGAACCGGCCCACTTAGCAACCGGGCCCAAACAGTCCTGGTCTCGCGGGCTTCTACCACAAGACCGGCCTACTAGTTGGCCCACATCACCCCGATCACGATCTTAAACGGGCTATGACCGTTTAGGCCCAGAGCCGATGTAACGTCCCAGCCGGTCGTTTCACGAGTTACTGCTCTATTTTTCCCATTTCTTCTTCTTATTGTCTTAGTCAATTGTATTATGTGACATTGGGTTGGTTGGTTCGGATTCGGAGAGGTTTTGGAAAGGAATGAGACACTTAGTCTCTTTTGAGTAAGCTTAGGTTGGAAAAGTCAATTGGATGTTGACTTATGTGAAAAAGGGTTTAAATGTGAATTTTGATGGTTCAAATAGCTTCGGGAGGTGATTTGGGACTTAGGAGCGTGATCAGAATGTGTTTTGGAGGTCTGGAGTAGATTTAGGCTTGAATTGACATAATTGAAATTTTGGCATTTTTTCTAGTTGATAGGGGAGATTTTAATATAGGGGTCGGAATATAATTCCGGAAGTTAAAGTAGGTCCATTGTGTCCTTTGTGATGTGTGTGAAAAATTTCAGGTCATTCGAACGAGGTTTGATCGACTTTTTGATTGAAAGAGGAATTTGGAAGTTTTTGGAATTCTTAGGCTTGAATTCGATGATGATTTGATGTTTTGATGTTGTTTTGAGCGTTCCGAGGGTTGGAACAAATTTGAATGATGTTATGGGATATGTTGGCATATTTGGTTGAGGTCCTGAGAGCCTCGGGTGAGTTTCAGGTGGTTGAATGGATCAAATCTTGTTGTGGGAAGTTGTAGAAAATCTGTTGTTAGTGTTGTAGACATTTTGCCTTCACGTTCGCGAGAGGTCTCTCGCGTTCGCGAAGAGATGTGGTGTGAAGAAGGAAGTTTGTCCTTCGCGTTCGTGATGTTGGTCCCACATTCGCGAAGTGTTAGGTTCAGTGTTCATCGCGAATGTGATGAGTTTCTCGCGTTCGCGTAGAGTAAATATGAGCAGCTGGGTCCAGGTTCATTTGTGCTTTGCGTTCGCGAGCTATAGGTCGCGTTCGCGATGGGTTGAGGAGCTGAAGCTTGGCGTTCACATTCACAAAGAAGGATTAAGTGGCCAATGATTTTTGTGCTTCGCGAATGCGAGACTTTGACCGCATTCGTGAAGAAGGAAAGGGTCACCTGGGCAGAATGTTTAAATAGCCATTGTCCGCAATTTTGGATCTAACTTTCACCATTTTTGAGCGATTTTGGAGCTTTTTGAGAAGAATTGAAGAGGGAATCAAAGGGAAACACTTGTAGGTAAGATTTATAGACTTAATACTCGATTCTATTGTGATTTATACCTAATTAAATATGAAATTTGTGGAATCTAAAGCCTAAAATTGGAGAGTTAGAGCTTGGAATTTGAGACTTTGATATGAGGATTTGAGGGGTCGTTTATGGTCGTATTTTGATGTATTTTATATTTATGAACTCGTGGGAGTGTAAGGATTCTAGTTTTGTGATTTTTATTGGAATCTGAGATGTAGGCCCAGGGGTCGGGTTTGGCCAATTTCGGGATTTTTGATGTAAATTGGTTATTTTCGAGTGAGATTTGTTCCCTTAGCATATTTTGATGGTATAAATATGTTTTTGGTTAGATTTGGAGCATCCGGAGGCCGAGTCGAGAGGCAAATACATCGCGCGCTAGAGTTTGGATTGGATAGAGGTAAGTAATGATTGTAAATGTTGTCTTGAGGGTATGAAACCCCGGATTTCACATCGTTGTGCTACTTTGAGGTGACGCACACGCTAGATGACGAGCGTGGGGTTGTGCATTGTTGGGGATTGTGACTTAGTCTATCCCGTGTGACTGTTAAGTTGCGTATTTGATTGAAAACTATTTGACATCATTGTGTTTCAGAAAGTATTATCATGTTTTGGGTTGAATGGCATATTTGGGCCTTGTACCAACTGTTTTGGACCCTTAAGGGATTTTTACTACTATCCCTCACTGTTTTAACTTCATATTTGTACTTAGTCATGCTGTATTCTACTATTTTTCATAACTCAGCCATATTTACTTCGTTTTGATATTTTAAATAATATTTTGGGCAGAGCATCATGTTTTACTGTTGCCTGAGGGGCTTGAGAGATTTCTGACTAAGTGAGGTCGAGGGTCTGTGTTGTGAGGATATTATGGGATCGGGCTGCGCGCCGCAGCAATGTTATTCTGATTCATGATTATAAGGTCGAGGGCCAATTTGATTATGCCACGAGATGGCTTGTTATAGCGCTTGGGTTGTAGGAGCCCCTCTGGAGTCTGCACACCCTCAATGAGTGCGGGTACCCAGTGTGAGATGTGATATTGCCCGAGGGGCTGTTGTTGTTTCATGTTAATGCCCGAGGGGCTGATACGAGTGATTGTGAGATAGCCCGAGGAGCTGGTTCTGTTGGTATTTTGCTCGGGGGACGATTATGGTACTTGTTTTGCCCGATGGGCTGATTTATGTTACTATCCTTTTCTCACTGTTTTCATCACTCGTTTGAACTACTGAAAGATGTTTTAAAAAGGTTTTTACTGAACTGAGATGTTTTTACGAGTTTTACTGCTTTACTGCATTGTTCTAGAATCATACTATTTTGTTGTAGCATTATGTTGTGGTTTATGTGTTTTCTTACTGCTCAGCTGCCTTTACTTTTATTACTTACTGAGTTGACGTACTCACATTACTCCCTGCACCCTGTGTGCAGATCCAGAAGTCTCGGGTCACGCTAGCGAGTGCTGATTTATCTTCCAACAGCCTTCTCGGAGTTGACTAGGTAACTGCTCAGTGTTTGCAGCCTAGTGCTTCTCCTTCCTATCTTTATTTTGCTTTGTATTAGTTTTGTTTCGGACTATGTTGTCTTTCTATATTCTCTAGACGAGTTGTAGTTGCTCATGACTGGTAACACCCCGATGTCGGGCTGTATTTTGTTTCCGCACTGTTCTATTCTACCTTACATTTTGGAATTTTAGTTTATTAATGTCTTTAAGTGACTTATTATAATTGTTTGGTTGGTTTGGGGTTTGTGTCGACTGGCCTAGTTTCACAATAGTTGTCATCACGAGCAGGTCCGTTTTAGGGTCGTGACATCCCACATGGGCCACGTTCCTGGGCCGGTCACGGTCCTGAACCGGCCTACTTGCCACCCTTACCATACTTTAACTCATAGATCCGCTTATTTTAACTGTCAATTTGTGAATAGGAGATTCCATTGGATGATTCTTTGTGATACTGGAAACGATGGTTCATTTACATGGGTGATTGTCTCCCTAAATTTATCAAGCGATGAATACAAAAATATACCACAACCTAACTATCAAAAAGTGTCATGTATTTCACATGATTACTTTGATATAGTTGTTCTAGATGGTTTACTTTGTGTCTATATCCATCACTTTGGATGTTCTTTTGATTTGTGGACGATGAAAGATTATGGAGTTTAACAATCTTGGATGATGATGCTCTCTATTCCTCATGATAATATTTTGGCATATGATGGCACTCTTAATTTGGATACAATATTATTTTGGTATATCTCTCTATTGTACTTGTTTGAAAATGGTGATGTTTTGTTCAAGGCAGACACACCCGAGAAAAAGGACATTATGATTTGCAATAGAGACAAAAAAGTTTTCAAACCTTGTTTTGGTCGTGAAACAACAATGAGAGGAAGAAGTTTTATTTATATAGAGACCTTTATTTCACCCAACCGGTATATGACTCCTGCCAGTTTGAGAACCACAAAACTTCTAAATCGGGTTTCAATGGATAGTCTTATTCTGTATGTTTCCTAAATCTATGCATTTCATCATTGGATAGGTTTGTGCTAGTTTATGTGTATCACCAAAAGCACAATAGATAGTTTTATTTTGTTGATGTTGATGTTGCTTGCACAATTGTTATAGTTATGTATATTTCTTTTACAAAAACTATTGGTGTGATCTTCTATATATTTAGCAACTAGGTAATTTGTCCGTGCTTTACACGATCATGAATAACCTCATTAAATTTACAAATATTAAAAATAACGAAAAAGTACATCTTTATAAAAACTAAAAGTATTAAGAATATTTCAATATAAATTAAAAGATTTGACATTGGTACATATATCAAGAACATCTAACAAATAATTACAAAGTTGTCCTCTTTGATCAATTTTATCTTCTAAGTAGTTTTCTATTGTAACATTTGTTCCTTGATATACTTGACTTCTCAATATCGAATGATCTTTCATGACATAATCAAGCATCGTTTTCTCTATTTCTGTCTACATGAAAAGTATAGGATATTCAATTTTATGGCGCACACTATACTTGTCCTAAACAACTTCATGATGTGAAGGTTACATAAAATCATCACCATTAAGATCAATGTTTAATTTTGATAAGCTAGACCTGCTAATAAACAACGCAACAAAAATTTTGACTAAAAATTAAATCGATGATAATCTAGTCTACTAGTCTAGATTAGAAGAGCCATGCTTGGTCGACTAAGGGTAGAATAGTCATTTAACTCAGTAAAACTTTGCCATATGCCTTTTATTCCAAACACAACATTACTCTAGAAATATCCATTCCTTCGCCTATCAGTTTCAAAATGATCCTTGCTTGGTTCTATGTTACTGGCAATGATAGATTAACATCACTGAAGCTTCAGCTAAAATTTGCAATAAGGTAACAGTCGTCAATTCTTCTAATATAGTCTATTTAAACATTTGTGGGAAGCTTCGGTTAAACATTCTATGTACTAATCCCATTATGTCGGCCGTTTCAACTTAAAACCCAGGTGCGTATCTCTTTGTGATTTGTTTCCCATTCAGTATTGCTTTTAATTTGCTTCTATAACATTTGAAAGTTTTATTTTGCAATTTTTTTTGTGGTTCAAGTATTTTTTTATTTCTACGTTGGCCGCTGGGAGCTCTTGGATTTTTATTTTATTTTATTTTTTTTGAAAATTTTACTTTTGCAGGGTTGGGTTTTATTGAATTGGGTTTTCCTTGACACCTGATGCAACTCTTTTATTGCCTGAACAAAGTCAAGATCTTGAATTGTTTTGGTAACCCTTTCCTTTTGTGTTGTGCTTTTTTTAATTTTGATTTCCGAAGTACATCAATTGCAATTATTTTAGTACAAAATTAGTAAACATATTATTATTTTGTTAATAAAAGGTAAATTGATGACTAGAAATTGGACGTGTTTGTTTCCTTACCTTCCAATAATGTGGAATTTTTTTCATCTAATTAGAATTTCGCCCTTAAGAATCACCTTTTCATCTGGCAAGTTTCTTCTTAAGTCTCCATAACTTATCCTTTTGATGCGGGAATAATAGGATAGAAAGCTTGCCCAATAAGCTGACCTTTTTGGAATTTCCGAGGATGAACCAGTGGCAAAAAAATTATTACTTTTCGTATATTTTTTTGCAATACCTCCTTGTTACTCCATTAGTGAAGTTTCTTATCTTATCAAAAATAAAAAAGGAGTAAAAAAGAAGTATTTCCTTAGGATTACTTATTGTGGCTATTATCTTTCTTATCTCCTGCTTTATTCTCAATGTTTTGTATCAGGTGGAGCCTTTTGTCGGAGCTCTAAAACCAAAATATAAGATTGAACTTCTTCCGTAAGATTCACTTTTTCATCCGGTAAGTTGCTTGTCATGTCTTTTACTTTTTGAAGTTCAATTAGGTGCCTCTCATAAACTTTGTATGCCGTTAAAATTTTTATATTTTGATGCTTTTACATATGAAATGTCACGATCCCAAACAGGCCCGGTCATGATGGCGCCTCTCGTGAAGACAAGGTCAGCCGACACAACACTCACCTTAACCCTTTAAGCATTAAGAGTCATTTTTAAGTCTTTAAATTAAACAATGTTTCATAATAAAATCCTGGAATAACAGTGCGGAATAAAATACCAGCCCGACATCGGGGTGTCACTAGTCATGAGAAACTATCAAGGTCTGAATATAACAAAAGTCTAAAAATGTACTAAATACAGTAACAACAATGAGAGGAAGGAAGCGGTGCTCCGAACGTCATGCATCCACCTTGCTAACTCTGATGACTCCGCGACTGAGCTATCAACACCCGCTACCGGGTTCCAATATACCTGAATCTGCACACGAGGTGCAGCGAGTAATGTGAGTACTCCAACCCAGTTAGTAATAAGAGTAAATAAAGGCTGAGCAGTAGGAAACAATGAATCCACATTCACGTTAGGCTCAATAAACACAACAGACCTTCAAATAATAATACGAGTCAATCTTCCCTTTTAAAATCCAGCTTTTAGTAAAAATCATTTTGAAATACTTTCCAGCAGTTTTGGTAGGGGTTCAATACCATTTAAGATAATAATAGAGATTAAAGCCATAATCGGCCCCTCGGGCAAAACATAGTTTGTAAAACAGCCCCTCGGGCAAAACAGTAATCATAAACACTTCATAACTTAAAAATCTCAGTGGAAATAACCAATGCCAAATCAGTGATTAATTTCTGAACATCTCATAAACCCCAGTTTAAATAAAAGTTGTTTTAAAACATTTGTTCAACTTTCTGACAGAGGCTCAATATAAACATGAGTGAAAACAGTCGATAAATCAACATATTCGATAGAAATTCACTTTAAAGAGGAGTGAAATCAATAAGTCCATAAACAGGCCTCTCAGGCAAAAACATCACTCATATGCATGTATATATCTATCGCCCCTCGGGCTAGCCTCTCTGTCACTCGTGACTCAACTCTTACCAATCAATACTCGCACTCAGCATTCACGCTCAATTGGTACAATATAGTAACCGCTGCGGCGTGCAGCCCGATTTGTATATCTCTCACAATAACTGAAATCAAAGTAACCGCTGTGGCGTGCAGCCCGGTCCATGCATCACTGTGGCGCACAACCCGATCCATATAAATAGTCAACTGTGCTTACTGGGGTGTGCAGACTTCGGAGGGGATCCTACAGCCCAAGCGCTATATTGCTGTGGCGCGCAGCCTGATCCATATAAGTATCGCTGCGGCGTGCAGCCCGATCCATATACATATATATATATACATTGTTGCGGCGTGCAACCCGATCCATAGATATATAATACTCACAACTAGGCCCTCGGCCTCTCTCAGTCATTAACCTTACCATCAGACTTTCAGTCTATTTCAGTCATCAATCTCACAATCAGACCCTCGGTCTATCTCAGTAAAACAGGGAACTCAACCCAAAACAATTTCCACATTTTAAGAATATAGTGATAAAGCCAGATTTGAGCAGTAAACAGGTAAAACATGACTGAGAATATGCTTTCAAACAAATAGAGTGAGGAAAGATAGTAAAAATGCCCCTAAGGGTCTCAACAAGTCGGCACAAGGCCCCAAACATGACATACAACCCAAAAATATAATAATGTCAAACAATTAACTATCAAATACGCATTAAAATATTCGTTCAAGATGGACTAGGTCACAATCCCCAGTGGTGCTCTACCCCACGCTCGTCATCCAGCGTGCAAGTCACCTCAAAGTAACACAACAACGTATAATCCGGGGTTTCAAACCCTCAGGACAGTATTTACAATCATTACTTACCTCGATCCTATCCAAAATTTAGCCCGCGATGGCTCGCCCGCATGAATCGACCTCCGGATGCTCCAAATTCTAGCAATAATCAGTACATAATCATTAAAATATGCTAAGGGAGCGAAGCCCACTCGAAAATATCCAATTTAACATCAAAATTTTGAAATTTCTCAAACCCGGCCCCCGGGCCCACACTTCGAAATTCGAGAAACTCACAAAATCCGACAATCCATTCAACCACGAGTCCAACCATACCAAAATTACTAAATTCTGATAACAATTCGGCCTCCAAATCTTCAAATCTTATTTTCAAATCCCTCGGTTCAAATCCCCAATTTACACCTTAAAAACATGTAATCTAGTCGGATTATTCGATGATAATTCAATATTATGGAGTATAAATGATCACAAGTGACTTACCTCAAGATTTTCCATGATTTCTTGCTAAAAAATCACCCAAAGCCGTGTTCTTTCACCAAAAAAAAGGTCAAAATGAGCAGAAAAATGCAACAACTTTAATAAACCTATTTTGGTCGCTAAAAGAGCCATTCCCATCTTATTTTCAAATCCTAGGTCCAAATCCTCAATTTACACCTTAAAAACATGTAATCTAGTCGGATTATTCGATGATAATTCAATATTATGGAGTAGAAATGATCACAAGTGACTTACCTCAAGATTTTCCATGATTTCTTGCTCAAAAATCGCCCCAAGCCATGTTCTTTCACCAAAAAAAAAGGTCAAAATGAGCAGAAAAACACAACAGCTTTAATAAACCTATTTTGGTCGCTAAAGGTGCGCACCAAATCCTGCTGCACCAGCAATATTTATTTTCACTAAAAAGGTTCTAACTCCACCATACGAACTCAGAATTCAATGATTCTTATTCCTATGAGTCACAAATAATGATACGAACATAGTCCTTCAATTGAAACTCAATTCGGAGCTCGTTTGCTCAGTGCGATATCCATTTCGTTTGTTAAACAATTAACTCATGATTCGCGTCAAAAACCCAATCGCGACTTGATGAAATTAGACCAAACTTTCCAGATCACTCCTATAATTCATTATCAAAATTCTGGAAGTCTCAAAATCAAATTTCGATCTCTAGAACTAAAAGTAGACCTTTGGATCATTACATGCTTATGCTCAAAACGACAAAAATCTTCCAAAAACTCTTCCAAAACTTATCCTAGCCTCATGGGACCCCGACCAAACATGCCAACATAATTCATAACATCATTCAAACCTGTTCCAATCATCAAAATACCTCGAACAACATCAAATTACCCAAAACTCATCGAATTCAAGCCTAAGTTTCCAAAAACTTCCGAAATACACTTTTGATCAAAAACTCGACCAAACGATGTCCGAATAACCTGAAATTTTGTACACACATCACAAATGACATAACAAAGCTACATCAACTCTCAGAATTCCATTCTGACTCTCGGATCAAAATCTCACATATCAACCGGAATTCGCCAAAATACTAACTTTGCCAATTCGAGCCAAATCCTTCCACTGACTTCCAAAATGCATTCCGATCGCGCTCTTAAGTCATAAATCACCTAACGGAGCTAAACAAATCATAAAAATTCCGATCCGAGATCATATACAAACAAGTCAACTCTTGGTCAAACCTTTCAAATTGAAAGCTTTCATTTGAGACTATTCTTTCAAATTCCTTCCGATGTTCCTGAAAACCAAAATCATCGATCTACATCAGTCATAATACATCATACGGGGCAAGTCATGCTCGAAAACTGGCGATCAAAGTACAAAAGCTCAAAACGACCGGTCGGGTCGTTACATGAAAGAAGTTAATGAAATAGTATAGATCCATGTTTGTAGAAATAGAGACCTAATGTGACCTCTTAGTCTCGCTCACAAAGGATCATCCAAGAGTTTCATTTCATTTGGATGAATCATTGGTCTTATTTTGTAAAATGAAATGGCATATTTAGATACAACATGTAGGCTAGATTTCTCTTTTTCTTTCATAAGAATCAAGTTCATTGTGCATTCCACAAGTAGTATTCATGCTTCATCATTGTTTAGTATTCCTTAGATAATACCACTGATTGCGGCCTACTCTGCACTACTAATTATATAGCGAGAGAGGGTCGGAGCAGTTTTTACCCGATTTTGAGTCGGGATCGATATCCACAGAGAGCTAAAAATGGAGTCGAGTATCTATCTAGTTTAGGATTGCGTATATGTTCCAAATTACACTTCTAATCATTTTTGGAGGTTTTATTTATAATCTACTTTTAACAAACTACAAATTGTAAATTAAGCTAAAAGTTAAATGTTACGGGTTGTTCAAATAGTTTAAAGGGCACTAGGGTAGTGACATCTGCCTAGGTGGTCAATTGACGGGTACTTGAGTATAAGGCACAATTGATATGATTGGGGAGTATGATATAACCGTTGCACTACTTTACCCACTCTACACCTCTCGGTGGTTCAAGTGATTTTGCCCAATTGACTTTCTCAAGACCAACTGGGTATGCAAATTTGCATAAGCAACTTAGGGTTCAAGTCGGGTATTACTCTCTCGAGGTTTAACCCTTTAATTGGGGCTATCAATCTCTTGAGTACGCTCCAATTCCTTGTTGGATCAATTTCGGAGACTTAGACTCTCTTTCTCAAGAAGAGCCTTAGTCAACTAAACACAAACTAGTGTTTGCAACCACTAATTCAGCAATTAACCATGAAATTGACCCATATATCAAACACCCATAATAAATTTAGCCCTAAAATACAAGACCCATCAATTACCTACACTAGGGTTGAGCCACAACCCTAGCTATGAGTTCTAGCTACTCATATTCAAAGAAGAAAAACAAGAAATAGATGAAGATAAATACATATTAATTAATTGCTAAGCTAAATACAATGATTCAATGATGAAATGTAGTTAAAGTTGCCCAAAATGACCAAGAAAAGTCGACCCACGAGCGCAGCTATGCTATTACAATATTTGATGCCCTAAAAATGGAAAAAGGATCTATTTATACTAAGCTGAAAAATCTGGAAAACAATGCCCTTGCGGGGTTAATGCGAACCGCACAGAATGGACTGCGGCCGCACGAGGATTTTTGGATCCAAAATCTAGCTCTCTAAACTCAGGCTCCGCGGACCGCACAAAATGGACTGCGGCCGCGGTGACTTCTAGTGCGGTCCGCACAAAATGGACTGCGGACCGCATTGGCTTGAAAGCTCCAAACTGC